TGATCACCAGCAAAAAAAGATTTGTCTGCTCTATTACTCCTAACCTTGGTTAAGAAACATGCAATGTGAATAGACGTGACATTCCCTCCTAGGCAAAACCATACAGGTAATCAGAGTGATGAATGTGTCCTTACCTCAAAATGAAGTCATTTACATATATTTTGGTAACGTATCTATTTTGAAGGATGTAGGAATGGCATAATTAAATTGGCAATGAACTCACAACTTTTTCACTTGGCACCTTTTGAGGTGGATCCCGGCTATGGCATTAATGGTTGAGAAATAGGGATCGAAACCAGCCATAGTTTTCTCCTGATGACCATTGTGAATTGTTGTGTTTTATGGATTATGATGACGGCTTTGCGAACGGATGTTGACCCTTTGAATTGCCTATGGACTTCGAGACTGGATTTTATCTATCCCACATCATTTGAGACTGAATACTCTTTTATGAGTACTAGTATCTACAACTATCTTTTTGATGTTATGAGTATTGGCTATCAATTTTTTCAATTTTTCTTCAACATGTATTGTAATGACTTCAGTATGAATGAAATGTCCCTTGGTGTTCTGGTCCTGGATTGTGATATTGGTTCTCGATTGGAGGGGGGAGGGTGATGTTAGACATTGTTTCTTTTCACGTTAGATTATGGTTTTGGGATATATAGGGTCTACTTTTCTTATGACAGATTAACACTTACATTTTGCTTTTCTTGTTGGGTTTCTTTAAAGTTTTTAGTCACCCTTCCCTTTGGCATTTGTGCTTATATATTCCTTCTTCGAACCAAATTACCTTTGACATTTTATTCTACATAATTTTGTTGATGCACCTTCCAGTTTAAAAGTCCCCCGTTTGACCTTTCAAAGTCAAGCATAGAACCATAAGTCTAACAAATGCTGAGGTATTTCATCTTTGTTCAGTGTTATGACAGTATTAGAAGCCTTACTTCATACATAGTGAGTTGCTGGTGACATCTTCAAGTAAATGTGTACTATTTATACTACATGTACATGGCTAGTTTTCAAGTTCTTCAAATCAAATGACAAATACAGATTTGATAGATTATTATTATATCTAAGTAGACGTATATCTAAATGTCTAAATGGGAATATTTTGTTTATGACTGAGACTGACTTACATTTTACTTTATAACTCAGTAGGGGCTGCTATCTGAAAAATAGAGTAAACAATTATGACATAGGACCATGTACTTTGTAAACTGTTTACGTTTTTGAACTTTACAAAAGCCTTAATGTACTGATTGGAATATACATTGCTGCCCCCTGAGGTAGAGAAGCTCATTATCATCTTTGGTTCAAATATACCTCATGTTTCCAACAAGCACAGGGTATCAATTTAAACTACATTCATAATACTCAATGTTTTGTAATTTTATAGTAAGAAGCATATTAATATTAAAAAAGCATGTCTTTTCCAGTTGCTGCAGGTATTGGGTGGTGTAAGATGGTCGAACAAGAATGGTTATTTCTTCATTGGTAGCCATGTCAGTGATTTCCAATGAGTGTCCCCACCAACAGCGTTAAGGCATCCCTTGTTTTTGCCAGACCGAGATGGTGTTATTCCTCAAGCTGATCATGCAATGTATTGAAGGCAAATACTGAACTCTCAAGAGCACACACGTCTACTTTCTCTAGCCTATGAATGTGATCCCAATGATATTTGACCAGAACTTCCTTCTCATGCCGTTGGGTGTTTGGGTCAGGGGTCCTATAAGGTCTACTATCAGGGTACTATCAGGGTTTGGAGTGAAGTGAAAAGGTTAAAAGCGTTTGGAGTGAAGATCTGTTTTTCTTTGGGGGTATCCTAACATATAGACCTTGTTAGTGATCACTTCCCAAGCTGTGTTTAGACATTTTGGATGTTGTAGCGCTAAATTTGCCAAATAAAAGTTCAAATTTTTCTAAGAATAACTAAGTAATTTGAATATTTTCTTCTAAATTATGAACCACGTAATTTCGATTATAAGCCACCATTTTGTATGCTACCAATGATGCTAAAATCTGTTTGAACTTCTAACCTTCATTGCTTCGTAGATTTCCCCTTAGTGGAGAGGTATTCCCTGATGAGGTCCTTTTTTCGGGGCTTTTACAACCGTCAAACTGTGTGTCCGGACTGGCGCATTATCAGTTTGGCCACTAATTCTAGCATAAGGCAATTTATTTTCCCTCAACAATGCACATGCGATAATTCGTGTATTGGAATTTATACCCTGTTTGTTCGGTAGCCATGTTTTCCAATGGTCTGCTTTAACATTCTAGAATGCCATAGCTTGATTCTCTTGTGAGGTAATATAATATGAAGTAAATTGGAATAATTAGAATGACTGAAGAAAAATGGTATCATGTAGCTACAGTTCAACTGAGCTTTTTTGACATCAGCCTCCTTTGCTATATCATTTAGATTAATGATTATCATATAGCATTGACACTAAAATTCACAATTCTGCTTGGAATGTTGGCATCAATGTGCCTTTGAATTGTTCTATCAAACTAAGATATACATGTGTCTGTTTGAAGTAAATTAGCCTTCCTCTCGGTTTGTTATATAATTATGTTGGTTATATAGTACTTATGTGGGAGACATAGAACACTTCAACATCTGTGTCACTGCTGTGTATAACCATCTGCTGCTTGGATAGAATGGAGTAGCATTCTTATGTCCCCCTTCTCGTAGGAGCATGCCAGCTCTGGAGCTTGTTTTACAATGACCAAGAGTGGATGCAGTTCTGATGTCCTTGGTATGAAATATTTGTTTGCAACAGCTATAATATATTATATAATTCTGCTCTTAATATGTTGTGCATTTAAATCAGTACATCAATAAATTATCTTTTTTTCAAAATCCTACAATAGATTTAAATGACAAAAACATACCCTCTGATGCACATATCTTGGTAAATGCATCTCTGCCTGTCCATTTGAGTTCTTGTTTTATTTGCAACACAACCTCATATAAAGGGTCATTTCTGAAATTTGTCTAATGTCATCCTGATTTATTCATTCCCTATAATAATTTTCTGATTGTCATCTGATTCTTAGGATAAGGGATCAAGTATTTTCTTAACACGGAGCACCATATGCAAAAATAACTGTCAATTTTTTTACCAGTAGCCATTGAACAACAGGAATTATTGTTCTAATTCAGATTCATCAATCTGATTGTTGCACACTCATATAAATGAGTGTTGACAAACCTCAATACATATACATTTCAAACAGAAATTAGAAGCAAACATGTTATTCTATATGAAAATGTTAATAGTTTTAAGGAGCAGCAGGCCTCTTTGTGCTAATGTCAATCAATCAATACAGTCTTGTTAGGCTGAGCCTGTTTCGCAATTATATTGTCCGTAACTTGTTCTAGATTGGATGGTTCTTGGATGACGCTAGGCCGTGTGTTGTAATTACACCCATGTATTGGCTGCCTAGTGGTTATTACTGGTGCCGGAACTGGCATTTTGGAAACTGTGCACCCAAATTGCTTATTATAATCCGAATACTATCCAATGTAGGGGTATTAGGTGCTGACCTTGCAGCTGTCAACTCCGCTTGTTTGAGATGTTACGAGTGCATTTGAGGTAGATGCACCATCATCCTCGGGTACTTCTTCTACATGCGGTGCACATTCCTACTCAATTTCTAGGAGGCTTATTGAGCACTCCTTCGATTAAGCGTCACCTAGAGTTATGATTGGAATTAGAATAGAATTATTGTTACAATGTAGTTGTTATAGTTAATATTGTATGTTGTTGAGAGTTGACTTGAGTTGACCTGAATTATCTGTATCCACTTGATTTTTCAAAGTTATAATTTAAAAGGAGGCTATTTAAATTTCATTTTTAGTCTTTAAAGACACTGAATATCCCCATCATGAGTCATGTCTGATAATTCTCATTGTTCTTCATTTCTGTCACATTATCCAATCTTTCATGTTAGTATATATGCCAGCAATTCATGCAGTCGAACTCATATCTTTCAGATGTTATACTAATAGTTGAGCAGACTGTATGGAAAAATAATTAATTCGAAACAAGTTTCAAGATCTTCATTCTTTTCATTTTCTGATAGTGTTCTGTATATTTAAAAGAAATGTAAATAATGACTTCTGTTATTTGGAAATGAGATGACTTGATTCTTCAATATTTGCAGTCATTATTTTCATTGAATTTGTGGGATAACTTGTTTTGCTACCTTCAGTGCAGCTATTTGTTGAAGTTGCCATTTTGCTCAAAAGTAGTGTGAAGGAAATTGAGATATCACACAGTGTGGAAGTTGAGTTTTGGGTTATACTTGCCTGATAGGCAATTGGTATTGGGTTTATACTTGCCTTGCCAATTTTTGGGTTGCCAACATTTGGCAAGGGCAAATGTTTTTATACTTGTCATTGTAGCCTAATAACTTGCTGTTGCGCATACATAGTATTATAATGAAATTAAACTGACTATCATAGTATCTAATCAGCCTCATTTTCTACTAGTACTACATGTATTTGTTCAGGTTCTACTTCTTCTGCAAGAAGGTCATAAAAATACTACATTTATAAGTCATCATCCTTATCCATTATTGTCATGATATTCTTTTTTTTCATATTGTCATTGACTTGTTTTTCACTCAGTTCATGGAGACGCTGATGCGTATAGTACATAGTCCAACTACTTGGGCCATATCAAAACCAATACAAACATACAGAAGGCCTAAACAAAAATTGTTTAAATTTTAGAACAAATGTGTTATTGGTTATATAACATGTTACTAGTATAACTGTATAATTCAGTGCAGTGATATTGAATATTGTGTAAATCTGACACACATTCCCACATAGCTAGGTAATGTCTAACAATGGTTAAAAATATTAGATCAAGAGAGAAATTGCCTGCTGGGAATATGATTAATTTCCAAAGCTATGAATAATGTCATTTTGATTTCAGTTGGACCTTGAAGGGTACCCATCACTTTGTCCATAATGAGTTCAGGCCTAGTGTACTTGTACTCAGGATGGGATAGTAACTACAATGATAATCAAAGGTACATAATATACACAGTTTTTGCCAAAGAAAACAAAGAGGAAAACATTTTTTCATGCATCTTTAATATATCTGCACCCCAAATGGCTTCTGGTGTCCATTTTTTAACGAAAAATTATGAAAATATTAGGTAAATATAAGGTTTTCCCAACTTTTAAATACATGATTTTTGCGTGACATAATCTCAAAATAATGCGTGTTTTGCATGACATTTATCAGTCACGCAAAAATTTGTGCGTGACTCCTATTTTTCCAGCAAATTCGTGTCAATCACGCCTAATGCGTGAGGGATGACAGGGCTGGATCCACCTCCTGATAAAAATTAGATTTGCTGTAATAATGAAAACACATGAATCAATTTCTTACTTTGATAGGTCCATATTCCAATGGAATAGCTCTGACTTTGCCATGTTGTACAGGTTGGTTGTTTCATAGTGAAGTCCTTTAGAAACACCGCTGAATGCACTCTGGTATAAAGCCGTTTCAATGGCCTTGATTGACGTTTCATTTATATCTCCTTCATTTAATCCATACACTTTAAGATACTTCATGTAGTCTCTAGTAGCAGTTTGAATATATTTTCTATAAGTTTTCACTGCTTTTTTCACATCTTCATCCAGTTTTGGATACATTTTAAATCTTGAATTTTGGAAATTTTTAACTTTTGCTACTTTATTACCTCCAAATTGGAAGAATTTTGAAGAGTTAAAAAACATTACCAGGATTTAGACAGTGCAATTTGTGACGTTGTTGTCCAGTGTAGTTTGCTACAGCGCACCTAGCGGATGGCGCGTCATATCAATTATTTGCCCGTAGTGTTACGATGCCAGCCTTTGACATCATTGTTGGTCCTTATGGCCTGGTTATAGACACTCCAGGCTGATAGTGGCCAGAGGGAGCTGTCTATCCATGTTGACTGTATGTAATCAACTATTGGTGCAAATTTGGGTGCTGCTTGCTAGGCAAGGGTATTGGATGCCTCTGTGATCTGTTCCTGTGGTAGATAGTGCAGTGTGATCAGTTGTCGGAGATAACAGCGTGAAGTTGTATCACTGAGATAGGAAGTCTGAAGACCATGTTCCTGGACCTTTCTCCAGAAGGCCTGGACCAAATGAAACACGCAGCTGGATAACTGGACTTCAGGTAGCTGCTTCTTGAAGGCAACCCACACTGCAGTTTCAAAGTCCAGAACGACCTTCTTCACTCTGTGATTTGGTAGTAATCTTGTAACATACTCCAGGATTCACTTGTAGTCCTTTTTTGAACGCCTGGACATAAGGACAAAAAGGAGTGGCTCTTGCTTCACCACTTCTTCTCTATTCTTGAGGAAGGTGTGTATAGAGAACAGCTGAGTGAACATAATAATAATGTAAATACATATCATTAAATGTAGCGAGTGTTTCTCCCTTGCTTTGGAATAATTTGAATTCATGAGTACAGAACATGTTGTAAACATCACGACCATTCATTTCACTGATTCTTTATTTATTTCTTTGTAGCAATTGTCCATTTGGATGTGCAAGGTTTTAGGAGTGAGTCCTTTATCCCTACAAGAATACTGACAAGAATTGACATAGTCAGATTTGCATCATGCGAATATTGCCTGTAACAGATATACACTGAGGTTGCACACATAAGACACACATGTGAGATAGTTTAAGGGTTTAATAATTTTGTTTTGTATAAAAGTATAAATTATTATTCTTTTCTATTTCCCCATTTCCAGTTGTATTCTATGGAACATGCGGCATGCGACTGCCATCATGCTGCAGTTTGCTCTATTTAGACGAAAATTACTTACATTAAAGCTATATCAAATCTAACTTGTTCCTGATCCTAAGCATCCACCATGTTTGCAACTGCAGCCAACTCATTGATGTTGCTGCTTGCTAGTTCAGCTAATTCTTCAGCATATTCTTCAGCATTAGCTCCCAATCTTTTTTCAAACAGATCTGCCAAGCTGTCCTGTCAAGCTGTCCTTTAGAGCTTCTCCTTGTAAACCATAAGTTATGTTAGTATGTTTATATTCTGAAGGGTTCTTGAAGAAGCCACACCATTTTTCATTACAGAATTCATGGTGTGCAAACATTTACTGCACCATTGCCTTCAAACCATTTCTACATCATTGCGATTTTGAGCTACCATGTAAAAGAAGTTTTTCTTTATCACATTACACACATTCTCAGTCAGGGCTTTGTGATCCTTCTTTAGGTTATGGAGATCAGCATGAACATACTTCATTGTGTGATTGGCATCGGATAACTTCTTTATTGTTTAGGGTTTTGATATTGCAGATGTGTCATCATCCCCAAGCTGATGATGATGACACATGGGTAGCTGGGTACAAAATATATAAAGGTCATCTATTATCAATTTACTGTTTTGCTTACCATCTTTGCACAAATGTGTTGCAAAAGTTGCAATGTTAGGGTAAGCGCCATTACTCTTCACCTTCATCAAGAATATTAACAGGGCATTCATTTTTGAATGAGTTTTTGTGTTCTGAACGTGTGCTAGGTATTTGGACATGATGGACAGTTTGTCACACATTGCAGGAAAGTGAAACTTGGATCTGTCAACTTGCAACAACACCAATGTCACATAAATCATTAATGATCGGGGTTGATCTTTTGGCAATATTGAATTGATTCATGGCAACAGTGTCATGCCTCAGTTCTCCATTATTTATCAAGTGGGACTCGAAAATCTTGATGTATGGGTCCAGCATAACATGATGATGTCGTACCATGTTCAACTGGACCTCACACGACAGTTTGACCATTGGATTCTCCTGTTTGTCTGGTTTGTCCACATGCCAAACCTCAGCCCAAGATACTGAGGTCCCATCTGTTTGTCTGCTTTGTCCACATGCCAAACCTTGGCCATATATACCGAGGTCCCATTTAAATAATGTATTTTTTAGATTATTTCAAAATGTCATTCTATAAATCTTCAATTGGCATCTATACTTCAGATGATGGACATCCTATCAATTTATATTTTATAACTCTTGTATGACACATTCTTTGCCTACAGTTTGTATTTCTTTATTGGAAAATACTTCAACAGCAGATCTCTAAAATGCTTTGTTTTCACTGAATCTTTGATTATTATTTCAAACAATTCTGCCACAATATGAAGATCATCACAACAAAGCAAAATGGTGCCATCAGCACTCTTTTGGAACATTTTCAGCCTCTTTTACCAACTCCTCCCACCTTTTTTTCTGTGAAAATCACAGATGTAGATGTTGGTATCTAAAAGAACAAGGCACAGACATGAAGAATATCGTACCTAAAACACAGCATTGTGGTCTTGTTGACCAAGAAAGCAAGATGGCCGCAGAAAAGTTAATCAGCTCTAGAACTTATCAATGTGTAACATATGTAAAAATTTGAACGGTTTGGCTGGACACCTGTATACAAGCCTCGATAGACAAGATTTTAGGACGGAAAATCAAAAATGGCCACCTTAAAATTTACCCAGAATGCCCAAAAACCAATCAGTTCTTGACGTTGATATGTAAAAACATCCCTGGAAATTTCAGATGAATCCCTCAAATGGTTTGGCTGAAAATCTGTAGACAAGTCTTGAAAGTGAAGATTTTAGGACAGAAAATCCAGAATGCCCAAAAACTAATCAGTTCTTGACATTGATATGTAGAAACATCCCTGAAAATTTCAGATGAATCCCTCAAATGGTTTGGCTGGAAACCTGTAGACAAGTCTTGAAAGTAAAGATTTTAGGACTGAAAATCCAAAATGGCCACCTTAAAATTTACCCAGAATGCCCAAAAAGTAATCAGTTCTTGACGTTGATATGTAGAAACATCCCTGAAAATTTCAGATGAATCCCTGAAAATGATTTGGCTGGAAACCTGTAGACAAGCTGAAAAGTGAGACGCCGCCTGCCGCCTGTCAAGCTGACTACAATATTGTACCTCTTGTTAGGTACGATAAGAATAACAAAATTACAATATATAACTAGTAAATGTACACAAATATGAACAAATCACTCTATTAATTTTTAAGTTATAGTAAAAAACATGAAATAACACATGTAAAAGTGGAGGCCATTTTCAAAATTGTAAAATAATGTGTAAAAGCTGCTATTTTTCAGGATAGTTCAATGTTTCGAAAAACATGAAAGACCTATAAAATTTCAAACAAATTGTTAAAATACTGTTGGAATTATTGTATTTGGGATTCAAAGAATTATTTAAAAGAATTATATTGGTATAGTCAACTGTAGAGATAACTTAAACTGTTTTCATCCTTGATAAATTTTGTTTAAGTTTTTAGGTTTAATATTTATCTTACTCTCTTTAATTTCCTCTACAATGTTACCAGCAATTTGGAATATATAAGATTTTCTAACTACAAATCTATCACTCCATCTCTTTTTAAGAATGAAAAACTCCTCACTGTCCATGTTAAGTAACATCCTGAAACAAATAGTAACAAGAATAGTATCATGAGTACTTGACTGCTTTAAGCTGAGCACCTTAGACATAACGTAAACGTAAACCTCAAAATGTTTTTTTCCTTTTTCTTTTTTCGTATCATTTTCAAATTTAAAAGTATAACATTACTTTATTGACAAATTGATGAAAGGAGATGTTTCACAGCCTGGCAGTATTTTATGACATCTTGAATCTTACAAAATACAACATTTTTATACTACAGTGTGTCTCAAAAAATATGTTACACTTACAAAAAGTTCAATATCATTCATAATTTTGACTTTTCCCCTAAAAAAATACTTTTGATACCAAAAGACAAATCTTTCTGGAATAATTTGATACCATCAAATTCAAAATCTGTCATTGATTGGCTCCACAGGACAGCTTTTAGTATCCCATAGTAAAATCTGACTTGCGCCAACTTCTAAGTGATTGGATGGACCAAATGATAAAATAGGAATAGTTTCTTTAATATTTAACTTTCCTCTGAGTAGATGCTTGACCTTGAACTGAGTCATTCTGTAATTTTCCTATTTGTCTTACTAATGATCATTGGGTCAATCCACATAAACATGTGGTCCCTCAAAATGTTCCCCAAGGCAAATCTGAGGTACCCTTGCCCTTGCGCACATGCATTGTAATATCACACTGATTCCATCAATTACTTTTGCAGAAGTTCATTTAGGTCAGTTTGTGATGCTGTAAAGGGCTTTCAGAGTTCCTTCAAAAAATCAAGGGTGTAAAGTGGGATGACCCTGGGGGCCAATCTGTTGTGTAGTTAAATGCTATCTTCTGATTTCCAAAGAGTTCTACCAAACGATTAGCCACAGGCGTTTTCACCGAAAATTGGACCGAAAATGATTTTTATTCAAACATTTCATGTCCTTCTCAAAGAATTCGAAGAGTTTCAGGATTAAAATTGGTTTGAAGAAGTGTGGATGTTTACATAAAAGATTACACCTTTCCCGAGTGAAGACCCCCCACTTTTCTCTATGTTGTGTCCTCCTCGCATGTGTCCATGCATAACCCCAAAATTCACATGTCCGTCATGTCTGCAGCCTTCTATTCATTGAAGGAACCTGTAAAAAAAGAATATAATATTTAGGAGATGAGATATCAAATGGTGACTGAGACATCAAATGTTTTAACCACGGACCTAGGTTAAATATTGTACTTGCTTAAATTATATAAGATGGGGCATGCAGGCTCAATTAATGTTTGACAGGTATTTTAAAATCAATTACAAAAAGTAGCTGTCACAGTGTCACATTCACTATATGAGCTCACCGTTTACCACTGCACTTGTTATCCAGTCGATAACGCTGGTTACCGAAATGGTTCGTTTTAGTAACAAAATGTTGGAACGTCGAAGGTACGATTTTTCTTTTTTCCTTATTTCACGCGTTGTAGGCGGAATCCCCCTGAAGTTTTTTTCTCACAAACGTAACTGTATCTTATGTTTTAGAAAAT